TTACCTCTATTAATTATTGTAAATTTTTATTTGATATTTAAGAATTAAATCTTTCTCTTTTATAAATTTATTTGAACTAAGATATGTTGAGTTATTTATTTATGGAAGTTAAATTGTTAATATTAATATAATTTAATTTTTTATATTATCAAAATATATATAATTTAAATAATATATTTTTACTTCTTAAATAAAAATTTAACAAATTTAACAATATTAGATACAAATTTATCAATAATTTAATTTTAAAAAGTAATTTCCTTTATGATAATTTGTACAGCTAAAATTAATTTGACTAAATTATCCAAACATCTTCCATTATGTTAAATTAATTTAAAAAATAATATCCAAACAGATTATGTTATAATATAATTAATTATAATTAAAATCAACTATATGAATTAATTATTTTTATGATCAATTATACTCAACTGAAATCCAAACGGACTCATAATTGAGGTAGAATTAAAGTCACTTGAAAACTAAAATTTTTTGAACCTGTAGTTTGTACACCTGAAGGTGTCAATCTGGTTGGATATAAATTAGTTTTTGTGCAAAAAGGAAATAAAAATGGTGAAATTGTAACATATGAGGCATGGCTTATGGCTCAGAGATTTACACAAAGGCTTGAAATTGATTTTGTTGAAACATACTCACCGGCGAGGGATGTAACTATTTTTCAATATTTAATTAGTTTGACAATAAGTGAAGGACTCGATTTACGTCTAATGAATGTTGTTGCAACCTACTTGTATGGTTCACTTGATATTGACACTCACGTGAAACTCCCTGAAGGATTTAAACTATTAGAAGCATACAATTCAAGTTCTTGAGAAAATTATTCAATCAAGTTAAATAAATCCTTATATGGATTGAAACAATTAGGGCATATGTAGTATAATTGACTTAGTGAATATTTGTTGAAAGGAGGATATAAGAATGATCCAATTTTCCCTTGTATTTTTATGAAAATATTTGGAAAAGAGTTTGCTATATTTGTTGTTCATGTTGATGACATGAATATTATTGGAACACCCTAAAGAGCTTTTGAAAGTTATATATTGCTTAAAGAAAAAATTTAAAATGAAAAACTTGGGAAGAACAAAATTTTACCTTGGATTACAAATAGAATATGTGAAGAATGAGATTTTTTATATATCAATAAACTTAAACAAGAAAGGTCTTAAAACGATTTTATGTGAATAAATTATATCCATTATGTACCCTAATAGTTGTAAGATCATTGAAGGAGGATAAAGATACTTTTAGACCTTAAAAAGGTGATGAAAAAACTACTTCATCCAGTATAATGTATCTTAGTGCAATTGGAACACTAATGTTTCTTGCTAGTCACATGTAACGTAATATCTCATTTGTTGTCAACTTATTAGCAAGATATAGTTCTTCACCAATACAAAGGTATTAGAGTTAATCACATTTTTTGTTACCTTAGAGGTACTATGAACATGGGATTATTTTATTCTAAGTACCTAAAGCTAACCTTGTTTGTTACGTAGATGTTGGATTTTTGTTTGATCCTCCTGTTGGTAGATCACAAACAAACCATTTGTTCACATGTCGTGGTACAACCATTTCATGGCTATCTATGAAACAAACAATATTAACCACATCATAATTATGTAGAAATTCTAGCTATATATGAAACAAGTTAAGAACGTGTATGGTTAAAATTATCAATTTATCACACACGAACTATTTGTGAGTTGTCTTCTAACAAAATAATCTTGATGATCATATACAAAGATAATGTTGTTTGTATTGCCCATTTGAAAGAAGGGTACATTAAAAAAATAGAACGAAACAAATTAACCAAAAAAAAATTCACTCATGATCTTTAAAAGAATGGTGAAATTAATATCTAGAAAATTTATTCTAAAGAAAATCTAGCTAACATGTTCACCAAGTCACTTCCTGTTAAAATATTAGAAAAATATAACTTTAAGTCTCTATACTTTACTCATATTTTACTATTAGTTCCTATATTTTTTTAATAATTTTAGTCCTTATACTTTATTTTTTTGTTGTTTTAAGTCCCTTCAAGGTTCCTATATTTATTCATAAAGTGATATAAAATAATGAAAAATAAAAGTACTGGGACCAAAAACATACAAAAAAGTACAGAGACTAATAACAAAACTTGAGCAAAATATAGGGACTTAAAGTTATATTTTTTCTAAAATATTTGAAATGTTTGTTTATGATATTGGACTTTGCAAACTTAGAGATATTAATTGATGTTGTCAAGAGGGGGAGTTGATATGCATTGCACTCTTTTTCCCTTATTTAAGATTTTTTTTCTCACTAGGTTTTCCTAACAAGGTCTTTAATGAGGCAACATTGAATAACATATAAATAAATTATGTATTCTTTTCTTCTATTGGGTTTTTTCCCACAGAGTTTTTTCTAATTAAATTTTTCAATGAGGTACATTTTTATATAATATACATTCAAAGGGAGTGTTATAAATATTAAAGGAGAGTGAATGTCCTTCTTCTTCACCTCTTCATTTTCATCCTTTTTCATGAAACTCCCGCAATTGTGAGAGCTAATTATTCTTTATTTACCTTTATTATTTGTGTAACATTTGAGGTGTAAGATCATGCCTATAAATAAGGTATGTTATTTGTATTAAAAGATACAATAATCAGTAAAAAATTCTCTCATTCTCTTGTCTCTACTTCTTCTCCAAATCTTTTTATTTTTTAGTTCCTTAATTTCATAACATTTTTTTGGTTTTAAAATCCAATTAACCAACCACTCGTTTATGGATGGACTTCCTTTTGGAAATGAATGCAACAAAAATGGGCCCAAATTACGGCATCATGGACCTGCTTCTTCAGGCTGAAGGAGTTTTTGTCAAACGACCCAATCAATTGGGCCTCAGGCCGATAAGATTTCCCGCCGGAGATCACACGACAAAGTCTGTAACTCGGTCAGGGTTAGAGATTCCCCTAAATCCGTAACTCGGTCAGAGTCCTCGTTGCTCCGGCTTGTTGCGACACAGCTTCACCCTCAAAGACTTGTGTTGTAACCCTGTAAGACGCCCGGAAAGAGACATGCTCTTCCAGCTCCAGAGTATAGCTCAAGAGCTTCCGCTTTCACCCTTCACTCGCTCGTTCTCCTTTGTCTCCACTCTACCCTCTAAACCCAATCCTAATTTCAACCTCTTCTTCATGCGTGCTTCTCCTTCCTCTGCATTCGCCCACTCCTACCGCCACCATTGCCACCTCCACCGCCGCTTCTTCATACCTTCCTCGACGCTATCCTCTCATTCCGTTGTCAAATTGCGTCGCTTTTCCTGGCTGCCCGCGTCCAGCGTCGAGCAGTCGGTGAACGAATCGACGCAATCTACTTCTGAGCAAGCCTGTGATTTTTCCACTTTGAGAGAAATTGAAGTTTTCGATTTCGACAAGTGTTCTGCTGCAACCGACTTGAAGCACCTGTCGACCCCTGACTTGGAGGTGAAGGATTTGAGCGAGCTGCCGGAGCAGTGGCGGAGAGCCAGGCTGGCATGGTTGTGTAAGGAATTGCCAGCGCACAAGGCAGGGACATTGGTTCGAATACTGAATGGGCAAAAGAAATGGATGAGGCAAGATGATGCCACTTATGTTGTGGTGCATTGCATGCGGATTCGCGAGAATGAGACTGGTTTTAGGGTAAGCCTAACTCTTCACCGTTTTGGCTCAAGTCCAGAATTGTGAGAGAGAGAGAGAGAGAGAGAGAGAGAGAGAGAGAGAGAGAGAGGAGGAGGAGGAGGAGGGAAGCCAATGAAAATGGAGCTGTCGATACATTTAAGTATATTCGCCAAATATTTCATTTAGAAACACTGGGTTTTCCTCATATAAATTCCAATACTTAAGAGATAATTTTTCCACAATTCCCTGTAGTAAGAATTTGATTGTATTTTCTCAAAAACAAAAAAGAATTGGATTACAAAGCAGCAGAACAACTGGTAAAATGCTTACGATGTCTTTTAGGAATGATAGTTTATGGAAGGTTAGCAAAATGCAAATTTATTGTCTTCGTTTTGTGGCTTTAGTAGATATCGGGTGAAATGCGTACTGTGTCTTCTGGGAATGATAGTTGACGGAAGTATGATAAAATGCGAATCCATTCCTTATTATGGTTGTAGTAAGTATTAGGCTCTAAATGTTATAAAGCATCCCCTTTGCTATAATGCGCAACTATAATCCATCTTGGAATTCATTTATCTGTAACTTAACTTTATCATCAAAGCTAGACTTCCCAGGATGTGTGTTGCTTGTTGATGTCTTGTTAGTGCCTAGTTTTGGCTATCATTATTCCCCTATTTGAGTACTTATGAGAGAATTCTATACACTTTACTGTAAGCTTCAATTTGTTTATGCTTGACAATTTCTCTTTTGCTCTTTTTGTCTTTGTTAAAGGTATACAAATGGATGATGCAGCAACATTGGTATCGATTTGATTTTGCTCTTGCTACCAAGCTAGCAGATTACATGGGTAAGGAGCGTAAGTTTTCAAAGTGTCGTGAGATATTTGATGACATAATTAATCAAGGCCGTGTTCCAAGTGAGTCGACCTTTCATATATTAATTGTTGCTTATCTTAGTGCACCCGTTCAGGGCTGTTTGGAGGAGGCATGCACAATTTATAATCAAATGATTCAGTTAGGAGGTTATCAGCCACGCCTTAGCTTGCATAATTCCCTCTTCAAAGCTCTTCTTAGCAAACCAGGGGTCTCATCAAAGCATTATCTTAAACAAGCAGAATTTGTATACCATAATTTGGTTACAACTGGTCTTAACATACATAAAGATATTTATGGTGGCCTAATTTGGCTACATAGTTATCAGGATACCATAGATAAAGAAAGAATAGCAGTATTGAGGGAAGAGATGCTACAGGCTGGAATTGATGAGGGTAGAGAGGTGCTTCTATCTGTATTGAGGGCTTGTGCAAGCGAGGGGGAGGTGGAGGAAGCAGAAAAGACTTGGCTCAAACTTCTCCAGTCTGAAAGTGATCCCCCATCACTAGCTTTTATTCACTTGATGGAAGTCTACTCGAAGGTTGGGAAACATATGAAGTCCTTGGAGATATTCAGGAAGATGCAGGAGCAACTAGGGGACACAAGTGTTGCAGCATATAATAAGATAATACAGATATTGTGCAAATATTATGAAACTGAACAAGCAGAATCAATAATGGCAGATTTTTTATGGAGTGGTCTGAAGCCCCTCACACCATCATACGTCAATTTACTGAACATGTATTTCAAATTGAACTTACATGATAAGTTGGAGATGGTATTTTATCAATCCCTAGAGAAATGCCGTCCTAATCATGCCATTTACAGTATATACTTGGATTCTTTGGTGAAGGTCGGCAACCTTGACAAGGCTGAGGATATCTTTAACCAAATGATCAGTGATGTTGCTATTGGTGTTGATCCTCAATCGTGCAACATCATCTTGAGTGGTTACCTTTCTTCTGGAAATCATGTAAAAGCTGAGAAAATATATGATTTGATGTGCCAGAAAAAGTATGATATTGAAGCCTCATCAATGGAGAAGCTTGAGCATACTCTAAGATTGAGCAGGAAAATTGTCAAAAAACCAACAAGCCTGAAGCTAAGCAAGGAGCAGAGAGAAATATTAATGGGGCTACTTTTAGGTGGTTTGCAGATTGATTCAGATGAACAAAGGAAGAATCACATTGTCCATTTTGATTTCAATGGGATTTCTAGCTGCCACCATCTCTTGAAGAGTCATATACATGGCCAGTTCTATGAGTGGCTGCATCCTTCCTGTAAGCCAAGTGATGATGCTGAAAACATACCAGATAGGTTTTCTACAATTGCAAGCTCTTGTTTTGGCTTCTATGTGGATCAGTTTTGGTCACAAGGTCAACCCTCGATTCCAAAACTAATCCATAGGTGGCTGTCACCATGTGTTCTGGCATACTGGTACATGTATGGGGGCCAACGAAGGTCATCAGGAGATATTCTACTAAAGATAAGAGGAAGCCGCGAGGGTGTTGAGAAGATAGTCATTAAGTTTAAAGCTATGTCCATAGATTGCAAAGTAAAGAGGAAAGGCAGGACATTTTGGATTGGTATTCTGGGAAGTAATGCCGCTTGGTTTTGGAAACTGGTAGAACCTTATATTTTAGAGGACATAAAAGATTTTGTTAAAGCAGGTGATCAGACATTGGGGAGTGATTCTGCAGAAACTGAAAACATTAACTTTAGTAGTGACTTGGACACTGACGAAAGAGGGTGAAACTAAGATGATGATTCTGCTTTGTTGAAACTAGAAGAGTTTATTTTCGAGGAGGTTGCCTGTTCAGATTATGGTTGCTCTCTTGTATCCAGAACATAGTTTTTTTCCCTCCATTTTTAGGTATTATTTTGAAGAACTGCTAGGGTAGTTAAATGAAAGATTTCTTGACAATTTATGTTACCACATGTAATGTTATCTTTTTTGTATATAGATTTGTATAGAAATTTGAGAGCGACTACATTATCCAATTGATCTATGTAAAGAAATTATAAGTACTGGCTGTCTGGCTATTATTATTTCAATTGAGTTGATATTATTTATTCTTTGCCGTGGACTTATCCTATGATGGGAAGTTTAGTTTGCATCAAGTAACGACACAAAACAATCTGAAATATGAGTCGACACAGTTCCTGTCAAGTCATGTACATTGCTCTGACAAAATCATGCATACAAGAGGTATGGTAATGGAATCATCTTTGCTGCGATGATGCTTTTGCTTGTTTTCTTCATAAAATAGTATTTGATGGTATAGAAAAAATGCATCCTTTAGGGTGTGTTTGGTTGGAAGGTCTTAGAGGGAAGGGGTTCCTATCCCTTTATTTGGTCAAGGAATTTTGGAGGGGAGAGGAGCATCCTCTTATTTTGGCTCTCTCCAAATTGAAGTTTGTTGAAGAAGAGTTAATTTTATTTGACTAATTTATTTTCATAATTTTTGTTATATTCCAATCCCGCACTTAAAAGAAAATAAAATATGATGAGTGACTAGCTCTTTATTTCTCTTGATCCTCATTTTTGCTCGTGTGTCTTGTCTTTGGAGCTCTTGCCATGCGTTGTCCCTTCAAACATGGTGAGTTCTCCTTTGCTCCTCTCACCCTCTTCTGATTTGTGCTTTGATATGAATATGGATATGGCATTTCTTTGTTCATCGTATTTGATTTGGCATGTGATTCGTTGCTTTTCAACCTACTTTTTGCTTTGGCCTCTCTATAATCTCTCTGCTACTCAATCATAAACTTAAGCTTTCTTTTCTTTCTCTTTAGACCCTGTTCTGAGGTTCATGGTCTTCGTCCTTTGTATTTGATAAGAAGCCCAACATGGCTCCTCAGTTGCTTCTTGCTTTCTAATTCAATGTGAACAATGGACTCCAACTTTTGCTTTTTCTCGTTTGATTTTTCTCCTGTTTGACTTTTCTTCTTGTGCACCTTACGTGACTTTGTGCTATTTGATATACTTATGTTTTTTCTCTTTTGATTTTTCTCCTATCTAATTATTATTATTATTATTATTTTGTGATACAACTTATGTAATTATTTTGTGACTTCCATACTTTATGCTTTTTTTCTTTGTGATGTTGATTTACTTTGTTAGAGGGACTTAAAAAACTCTATCTTTTTTCTTGATTATACTTCTTACTGATCTCTATCATATTCATATTATATTTTGGTTCAGTTTAAACTATGCCCTTGTTCTTCTTTGGCTCATGGATATTGGCCAAGCGTGTAGTATATAAAAAATTTATTGATTATTCTTTTCTAGTTCTTTTTTAATTGTGCTTGTTATCTGCTTGTGGAACTGAATCTTTTGCTCTTATTTGTGATAACTATGGCTTGTTTATTAATTTGCATTAAGGAATCTAAATATCTTTTACTAATGCAATATTGATTTGAATTGCATCGAAAAGTATTAGCTCTTGTTGTTTGTGTCCTTATGAAAGTATATGCAAGTGATATTTGTTCCAAAAAAATAAGTTACAATTTGAGTGGCAAGAGAGAAATGGTGCGTGATGAAATAATAAGTCGAATTAGTAATTGCTCATCTACTCGAAATATCATTAGAAATTTAGAATGACTCTTAAAACTTTCTTGTAATTTTATGTTATGCTCGAAAGAGACATTGGCGTACAACCTGCGTGATGGTCAAATATGGAATAGATGATTGCAAAAGCTCTATATATATCAACACATAATGCAAAAAATCATGAAATTAATTTTTGGTTTAAGTGTTTTGGTGAGACAATTAGTCATCATTTTCATCAAGTTTTGACAAGTATCATTGAATTAGAAAAAAAATTTCTTATTCAACCTAATGACTTAACCATCCGTCCTTAAATTGAAAAAGAAAAGAAGTTCTTCCCATATTTTAAGGATTGTGTTGGTGTTATTGATAGAACGCATGCATGAGTTAAGATCTCTTCTTTAGATGCTCTTAAATATTGTGGTAGGAAGGAATTCTCGACACAGAACGTGCTAGCAACATGTATATTTGATGTAAAATTCACTTATGTGCTCCTCGGATGGGAAGGTGTAAAGTCTCCCATTTCATTCGGACTTTACCAATCCATAAACATATTACAATACAATATTAGAGATACATCCTTTAATTTATTTTTAAAATGCAAGATTCCAGCTTCGTAGAAAATATATTCAAATAAAAGGGCTAACGGAAGTGTAAGCGACAATCCCATGACTCAAAGAATCAATAACTAATTTTCTCCAAAAGTAGGCCATGCATCGTGGTTTGCACAATACGCGCTGTAGTGCATGTATCAAATTCTGTTGTCACAGCATATTTTTGATATAAACTTTTATCGCGCACCATTTTTACACTTGACATCCGATTGGAGTGATTCAAGCATTCACTCAAAGCTTATAACATAATCTATCTAATGAGATAAGTTTAGACTTGACCTAACAGTCTAATCTTAAATTGAACACTGAGGTGTAAAAAGACAATTTTCTTTTAAAATTTGGCACCTTAAGTGTGTTCAATTCTCACCCCTTGTCTTATTAGATGACTTTAAGCCTTAAACTAAGTTTTAAAGGACCAAATACACTTGATTAACACATTATAACACATATATAACATTAAATACTTATTTTAATCTTTTAATGCCACATTACACTTGTGGTTTTATATAAGGTATCATATGCATTCACATATACATACCCACACTTGTTCTACTTTCACACCTTTGACTTTCACATATGGAGCTAAGCCCTATCATATAGTCAAAAATTACAAATATATTTGACTCATACAAATAGGGCTAAGCCTCACCATTAGGTCAAGACCCATACACATACACATTTTATCAACACCATTCACATAATTTTTAATGAAACAAGTTATATAACATACTATAAACTTGTTTGGATAGCATTTAAGCCTTGTAACACCCTCAAATTTACAAATCGATTTTTCACAAATTATTAATTCAACAAATTATTTTTTTTTCATTGAACCCTTATCATTCCCTTATCATGGTAGAAAAATTTCTACCATGATACATCCAAGACAATATACCACAGGTCTTAAAATATCTAAAAAAAAGCAATTAGAACTATGAGGGACGGACAGGATCCTCATGGCATGATATTTAAATCAGGTCATGAATCAAGAGGGACAAACATAATCCTCTTGGTCATATAAATGCATTTAATAAAAAGGATTAGAGTTTACATGTTGTCAAAATAAGAAATGTCCTAGGTTGGCACAAGATACATTGCATAATACAAAATGAGAGGCAACGTAAAAGATGGTGTCTCATACACCATAATTACACCTCTGGTGCTTTCTCGGCCGGATTCGCTCCTGTAAAAATATTAACCACGGGGAATGAGACTTAAAAGTCCCAGTAACCAAAAATTAATATGTAATGATGCATGCGGATGTAACTAATCATGCGATTGCTAAGTGGGCACACAAAACATTTAACCGAACAATATTTTCAAACAAACCGAACAAGTATTTAATTGCATGACTGCACCTTATATCCTCCTTTTACCATGCTCGGACGCCAAATCACCCGGCCAAAGGTGAGTTGGACCAAGCGACACGCCACTCATTGGGTCCAATGAGGGCTTACCACGTGGTAATAATTAACCGAACAGAAATTTCCATTAACACCATACATTAAAATACCCTGACAAGTCATGCATCATTCAAATATCCAAACAGGAATATATCCGAACAATAATATCTCATCATGATAAACAAAAATAAATTTTTAACCCACTTGGCAATAATTTCAAACAAGTATATACAGTATTTATTTTCAATAATTTATAATTTTTTCAAACAACAAAACAACACATAACCATTCACAAACACACCCATCACAACACATTAATAATGGTTACCTTGTGTTTTGAATAACAAGTTCCCCTTCACAACTCCTCTTTCACCACTATCTTTGTCAACACAATCTACATAGTTATTTCATAATACTATATATTAATTTTACATTAAAATAAATAACTCTAATTTTAAGAGTTAGAAAGTCTTAGATCTATAATTCATATTAACACTAATTTAAGATTTATGCCTCATTTAACTTTTCAAATTCTTTTTTAAAATTCTCGTACCCTAATAAATTTTATCCTCAAATCACTTCTAGTATCACAATTTCATCCTTCTATATTCTAAAAATTCATCCAAAAATAAATTAAAAATTTTAAAATTATCCTGAAGCCTCAAATCACCTTTCTATAACCTCAAAAATACCTATTCATACTTAAATAAATATTTAATAATCAGAGGTTCATCCCTACATCTCAGATTCCACATAAATTCGACCATATAGATCTAGATTTTAACTCAAAAATTCTTAAACATGCGTTTCAACCTCAAGAAAGTATTCTATAATATTTATTATATCCCTAAAAGTTTTAACCTATATTTTTAATCCATCATATCATCAGATTAACTATCCTATAAAAAAATCTTAATCAAAATATTTACTCTATCCTACAAAATAATCATATGACTAGAAAGCTAATATTATTTAGAAAATAACTATAAAATTAATTTTGTAATTAAATAAATTTTTAAATGCTAATCTAAACAGGAAAGTTAGAACATACCTGAAGAAAAAGAAAATAATCCCCCTTGCGAGAAAACGCCGAGCAACGTGAGAGGAAGAGAGAAAAATAATATAAAAATCGGATTGTAAGTCCCAAAATTATATTAAAAAAAATATAGGTTCGAATTTAATTATTCGAACCTTTGGGCCAAAAGTTACAATTTCCTCTAAATTGCATCTTAGCCTCTCATGCTTCCTAATGCACACACCCCCTCCTTTTTATACATGAAGGCACCTCTTCTCTTCCCTCATCTAACCAATGTGGGACTTAAAAACAACAACCTTCCACCCCCTTTTTTTTTGTTCCTTCTACTTTCTCTCTTTTTTTTTTTAAACACACACATAAAAAAAATTATTTATGTATTATATCTTAACTAAATATTGCTTATGTGGTTTTAAATTTTAATTTTTTAAATTTATAATTAAATACCTAATCATAATATTATTTCTAAATAACCTCAAAT